CACTTCCTGAGTCCTGATCTGAAGTTGATGTCAAAGCCCCCACCACCTGCTCCCTCAGGTGCTGAGGGATGAAGTTGAGCAGCTTGGGACCCACTGTGACTGGCCACTCAGCCTGGAGGTCAGACCCACCACTGCCCAGGGCTCAGGGTCAGCTCCCTGGTCAGCATCCCTGATGCAACTGCAGGTCACCTTATGACCTCCAGAGGGCGACAATGGGACACACAGTCAACAGGAAATTAACATAAGAACCTGGCTTTGATGAAGATGGGAAAGGAGCCTGATGTCCATATCACAGACCCTTTTGGACCCCTCTCATATGTTCACTTTGTCCCACAGGCTCCTTCTAGGGGGCTAGGAGCACCTGCTCTCTCAGGGAGAGTGGGCACCTAGTGCAGCTCCCCACTTCCTGCAGCATACCACCATGGGGAAGGCAAGGTGACCACAAGCAAGTTCCTCATGCAGAGGACAGAAGTTGCCCCAAGAGTCAGGGAGCACATGGACCAGCTTATCCAACAGACACGGAGAGGGAAGATTTACCTAAAATCGTGTCTCTCAAGAGCCAGGAAGCTCACAGCCACATGACCTCTTACCACAGTCTCTTCTTCCCAGGACACACAGGACCCCCTCCCCTCCTCCCCAACTAAGGTCCTACCAAGACTCCTGGTCCTGGGACTCTGTCCCTGGAAGCAGAAACCAGGCTGGTGACACCCGAAGACAGAAGGTGGATCCCCTCACCAGTCAGCACTCAGACGACCCCTTCCCACCCCCAGAGTCATATCTGTGACCTTCCTGTTGGGAGGAAATGCAACCTTCCCAGCAGTCTGAGAACACGGGGAAGGTGCGGTGCCAGCTGGGTTTCTGTGTCACACAAATAAATAATCCCCTGGGTTTGAGGATCCCTGGGACTCTCTGTGTGGTGCTGACAGACCAATGGCCAGGACACAGCACAGGCCAAGGCTGAGATTAAGTGGGTAGGTTGTCATTTTAGGAAGCAGGGATCCCCATCAGCCTTGCCATTGAAAGTGCTTTGTGCCCTAGCCGGTTTGGCTCAGTTGATAGAGTATCCGCCTGCAGACTGAAAGTTCCCAGGTTTGATTCAGGTCAAGGGCATGTATTATACCTTGGTTGTAGGCACATCCCCAGTAATGGTGTGCAGGAGGCAGCTGATCAATGTTTCTGACTCTCTATCCCTCTACCTTCCTCTCTATAGAAAATCAATAAAATATGCTTTTTTTAAAAACGAAAGAAAGTACTTTGCAGGCCAGTATAAGCAGCATCTCCTGAAAGCTTGTTAGATGGAGACTGTTGGGCCCACCGAAAACCTTTGGAGTCAGAATCTGCATTGTTAATAGGACCTGCAGACCGTCTCTGTGCACATCCCCACATCACAGGGTCTCATTCTGGCTGGGCATCCACCTTAGCTAGGCAGTTGCCAAAGCAGCATTTCTAAGGTGTCACCTGGCATTGAAATCTTTAGAAAGTTCCATAGATGATAAAATATACAAAGGGGTGGCAACCCTGAGACAAGAATTCCTGATTTTGCCCCAGGCTTCTGCTCTGAAGATAAGAGCCAAATGGGGATGAGAGAAGGTGGAGGGAAGGCTACTGTGCACTCCACACAGAGCTGTGGGAGATGCCCCGGATACGTGCACCCCAAGCTTCTGCTTGTCCACATGTGAGCAGTGGAATGGCACCAGGTGCTAACCTACGGGGTAAGGCCCTCAGTTCAGCAACCTCGGTGCTTGACTTCAGCTAAGAGAAGAATTCAGAGTCAAGAACTCAAATTATAACAGAGAGTTTATTTAGAAAGTCATAGAGGTAGAAGTGAGCTGTAGAAGAAATGGGCTCACAAATAGTTACAGAGGCAAAAGAAGGACTCTTGAAGCTTGGGAGAAAGAGAACAAAGTTACCCACCTTGAGGAAAGAAGCAAGTAGGGAAAGGCTTGGTGTGCTCCAGAGAGGAAGAGCCACACTGCGTCCTACTTGTTTTTTTGTTTTTTTGTTTGTTTGTTTGTTTGTTGTTGTTTTGGGGGGAGATAGATGGGAGGCCTTTCTTTCACTCTATTAGTACCTATAAAATAAAATAAATTATGAAAATATCTCCTTTTTCAACTTAGAGAAACTACAATCTTTGCAACTAAAAAAAAAAAAAAGAAAGAAAAAGAAAAAAAAAAACACCTAGCCGAAACCAGTTTGACTCAGTGGATAGAGTATCCGCCTGCAGACTGTAAGTTCCCAGGTTCGATTCTGATCAGGGCATGTACCTTGGTTGCAGGCACATCCCAGTAGGGGGTGTGTAGGAGGCAGCTGATCAATGTCTCTCTCTTATCAAAGTTTCTAGCTCTCTATCTCTCCCCCTTTCTCTCTGTAAAAAAAATCAATAAAATATATATTTTAAAAAATACACACCCATAATTGTTACAATACATGTCTTTATATATACCTTGGACATTACAAAAGCATTTAAGTATCACATCCTATAAAAGTTGGGAGAAGAGACATTTTCTCAAATCTTGGTCATATATTGGGACATTTAAGTACTTAAACTACATTGTTGAAATAAAATGTCTCTAGCTCCAGGGCCAAAGGGATTTAACTTTCAAGGCCCCATAGGTGCTTTTATTTGTGCAAGGTCAAGAACCGGGAGAAGGTTCCTGAGCGTTAATTTACCTTAGGTAGGTCCCACAGTGGTTTACTTTCCATACTTTATCACTGAACTAACGGCGTCGGGGAGAATAGGCAATGGAAACCCATCTTGGGCAGGTCCCCTCCCTAGCATTCCTATTTATGTAGTATGGCTCCTACAAGAGGATTTTTAATCCTTGAGCTCTAAAATGCTGATTCTATACTAGTCATTATCTAAGATACTTGCAAAACAATCTTATATTGTGAATTAAGATAAAGTTATGAAAGTGTGACTCCCCTAAATAGGCTTCATTTAGGATTTGTCAGGTGGGGAGCATTTGGAACTATCGGTAAACCAAAAATTCCCTCTTGGAACTATTGGAGAAGATCCTTTCTTACTAAGGCATAAAGGTCAGAAGCCAAGTTCCTTCTTACTTTGGAAGAAGGTCCTACTTCTTGAGGGTAGTTATCTGGAGGTCTCAGGGGAGGATCCCAATAAAATAATTATCAGCTTTCCAGGTGCATCCTTTCAGGGTCGAAGATCAATGCAGTAGATCCTGATATCAGCAATGTTCACACTCATCTGCTTTTGCTGCTTTTCTGGGCCTGGAGCTGAAATACCACTGAGGCGTAGATGTATTTGATGCCAGTCAGAAACTCACTGTACTGGGGGCTTAATCCTGAAGGGCTATTCTTTGGTCCTTTTGTTCATTTCCCTTCTGAGGGCATCTAACCCACATGACTAAGAATATGCCAAGAGGAAAGGTCAGGGAGGACCTGAATCACATGGCCAGTGATATGAAAAGTCAGAACGTCTAAAATGCAAAACCAGGATATGCTAGGCCCTTGAGCCACATGCGGCTCTTTGGCCCCTTGAGTTTTTAGCAAAGGCCAGCTTGGGAGTACCATAATTAAGTTAACAACCTCTATAGTTTAAGTTTTAAAAATATTGGCTTTCAAAAGAAATTTCAATCATTGTACTATTGATATTTGGCTCTGTTGACTACTGTGTTTGCCCATCACTGTGCTAGAGGATGAAAGGTTACCCTGGGGACACGATCCCAGCATAGTTGCCAGGTACCTAAGGCTTTCCATTCTGGTGACCTTCCCTACTGGCCTATTGTACTACTTTACTCAGGCCTAACTGCTTACTACACAAACATGGTGTGTGTGTGTGTGTGTGTGTGTGTGTGTGTGTGTGTGTACATGGGAAGAGTCACTGAGGGAGAAGGTAGAAGCCTCAGCAGTTACAGGGAATGAAAATGTAAAGGAAAGAAAAGGGGAAGCAGGAATAATAGGAGGTCAGGGAGGGACCTTGGTACAGACTCCACCCCTGGACCATGTGACCAGGGAAGTGATCTTGGCCCCTGAGGAGGCTCAGTGCACAGGGAGGAGAAACAGCACAGCACACCACCAGGACAGCAGTGCCTGTGAGCATTTCTGGAATCCAAGCTCTTCCCTCAGAGGGAGGGACAGAGCAGGCAGCAGACACCATGGAGTCCCCTTCAGCCCCTGCCCACGGAGGGCTCCTGCTGGCTGGTGAGTGGGGACAACTACCTGGTGGTGGAAGGGAGGAGGACAGGCACAGGCTAGCCGGGCATTCCTGGGGAGCACAGGGCTCTCAGACAAAACAAGGAAGAGGGGGCTTCTGTTTGTACTTGAGGGGAGAAGACAGGGGAGCAGAGTAGGATGGGGAGGGGACTCAGCAACAGAAAAATGATGTAGAAATGATGAGGGACAAGAAAACCTCAGTGACTGCTCATTTCCCAAGTTGCTCACACTGAGAGTTGAATGCTGAAAACTTCAGATAATAACAATTTATGTGAGGAGATGGGAGATTTAACCAGGGACACTAAACATTATCCTTACCACCGAGATCAGAAATGAGCAGATACATCCCAGGAAGTGCAGAGCCCTGCAACACTCACTCATTCACCCAAGGGCACTTACAGCCTGTTGCAGGCATTGGGTGTGCAACAAGGTCAGACAAGCACCTGCCCCCATGAAGCTCATGTTCTATGGTAGGAGGCAGAAAAGGTATGATCTAGATGTGATGTCAGGTCCCCCCTAGTGCCCTGCAGGGAACAGCCCAGGGACAGATCAAAAAGTGAAGACAAAGGTCTTTAGAGGAGGTGATCAGGGAATGGGTCTCCCAAAGACACCTCTGAGTGTCAGCAGGGGTCTGAGGGCAGACATTTGAGTAACAGTATTCAAAGCAGATGAAATAACAGGTTCAGAGGTGCTGAAGTCAAGGTGGCCATGCTGCTGACCTTGACCACAAGGGACACACACATACTCTGACCAAGGCCAGGCCCTCGTCTCTCCATTCAAATACAGAGCTCCAAATATTGATTAGTTTCTCTCTTCCCTCCTAGCCTCACTGCTTACCTTCTGGAGCCTGCCCACCACTGCCCAGTTCACTATGGAATCAGTGCCGCCCAATGCTGCCGAAGGGAAGGATGTGCTTCTCCGTGTCCACAACCTGCCTGGGGATCTTAGAAGATATGCCTGGTACAAAGGGGAAATAGTGGAAAACAATGAAATTGTATCATATGTAATAGAGACTCAAACAACAATCAATGGGACTGCATACAGTGGTAGAGAGACAATATACCCCAATGGATCCCTCCTGCTCCAGAACGTCACTCTGAAGGACACAGGAAAGTATAACCTACAACTCATACTAAGAGATTATGCTACCAAACAAGTAACTGGACAGCTCCGTGTATACCGTGAGTGATTGCTCTCTGACCTCTGGGTGCCAGGTGGGGTGAATTCTACTTCACACACAGGACTGACAGCCCTGGATTACCCTCCATCCCCCTCCAAATCATCTCCCAGGTTGGGTTAGAGCATTTAGTGCAGGACACACACAGTGGAAACAAACTTCCTAAGGTCAGAGTTCCCATCCCAGATTCCAGCCCTACACACATTCTCCTCAGAGAAAAGTCTGATGGGAGTGACACAGCACAGGGAGTCTCACTCCAGCCCCTGGTCCCCTTCCCATGACCATGACACTGAGAAAACCCTGCAGAGCTTGCACACACTCGGGCCTGAGGGGACCCTGGAATCCTCACAGAGAAGCTCAGCCTGGGAACCCCTCCCAGACCCTTGTCCCAGGGCTCCTGACTCCAGGGAACCTGGGGAGCCTGGGTCTGGTTGGGTTTGACCTCCTGCAGGGCTGGGAGGGAGGCTCTACACCTGCTCACCAGCTAAGGCTCAGTCCCAAGAGCCACATCAGGACAGGGACAGAGCGTAGTCCTTCAGCTAAGGCGGTGTCAGGAATGCACAGATAGACAAAATACCCCGTATCATTAGCTGACTCTTTTGAAGGACTTTAGGAGACTCTGGAGGGAGGTCAGGTCCCCAGGAAGGAATAGAGGAGAAAGGATACTCCTGACAGCTCCTTATCCACCAGGGGACAGCCCAGGAATTCTCCCTCATGGAGGCAAATAATAGCAGTGGCCATTTAGGTCAGTGTCTCCTCTATACTGGGCCAGAGGTGAAGTACTCAGGGATGTTTTCAGGTCAATTCACAGACAACATAGTAATCCAGAGTCCACTTAGCATTTGTTCTTTTTTATTCAGGGGAAAGGGAGGCACAGTGTGATACAGTCATTCAACAGGCTCACACAGACACAGCAAGGTGCTTGCACAGCCACAGCCCACCCTCTCCTCCACCAAGAGGGTCTTAGTTGTCTGTGGACGCTGAGACAAGCCATTGATTCAGTGCTTTTTCTTAGCAGTCCCAGCTCAAGGTAGATTTCCTGCTCTGGTGAGTAAGCAAGTGAGAATTAATTTTCACTCTCAAATCAAATTACCTACAATAACATTCAGAGTCAGTGCTGGGATCGCCCAGACCTTACCCTCAGGTTACCCATCTAGCTCTCCCTGCACTGGATTTGAAACCACTTATTTGTTTTCTGATGTGTTGGCATCACTCCCACTAGCTATGAAGGAAAGGACTTTGCCTTCTCACTCTCCACCCTACACCTGCTACCAGTTCAGGGACCAGCACTCACTTGCTCTTTCATGAAGGAGTGAAGAAATGATGGTGAATGATGACAGAATTAATGAATGGCACATTATTGCCTCAGAGACTGGAACCTGGATGCAGAATCCTAAAAGGTTTTAGCCACACCTGTGCCCTGTCCCTACAGGTGCTGAGAGCCATGTCCATCCCTCTGACCTCTGTCCCTGTAGCCCCCTCAGGAGCCAAGTCCCTTTGTACTATGGGCTGATCTACTGTAAGAAGGTTTTCCAGGCTGCACTGCTCCTGCTCTGGGGCACCTGTGGGCTCTTTGAAGTCACCTGTGACCCCCACTGCTCACCAAGGACATTCTGCCTCTCTCTGCTCCTTCCATGTCCCTTATGTGCCTCCTCCTTCATGCCAGACACACTGCCTAGCTCTGCTCTGCTTCCTCCACCAGGCAGTCTCCCCAGATTGTCCTGCTAAAACCTGTGTCCAGGTCCACCCTCCCGGGCAATAGGGAGAACACAGAAGTCAGTGGGAGAAGCAGCCGTGGCTCCTTCAGGAGCCAGTTTCCCACGTCAACTGGAGAAAGAGCTTCTGCTGGGCCCCATCAGGGCTCCTTTACTCCATGTGGCCCACAATAGAAACAGGCCACATGACAGGGGCATGTAATCCAATGGCCTACTCTCTACATGACTCAACCAGGAAGTCAAAGGCAAAAGGACAGGTCTGAGCTCCCAAAAGCTCATGTTCACACTTCACCCCTGACTCATGTTCACACTCACACCCTCGTCCTGATGCAAGGCTCCCGACATCTTCCCAGTGTGGGCCTGGTGATCCTGCACCATCTGACTGGTTCACTGCCTGTTTCATACATGTGTGTCCTTATGAAGACACCTTGAACACAGGGTGTATCCTCTCAGACTGTGAGATCCACCAGCCACTCTCCTTTCTCTGAGATGCTGCCTATTTGAATGAATATGACTCAGCTCCAGTTGTTTCCTGAGTTAGAAAGACAAAGAAGAGCACATGCTATGTGCCCATGTAGGGGCTCCTCCCCATCTGCCTGACTGTCCATTAAAATAGGGAGGGACCTTCTTCCTAATTTTACTAACATGACACATGTCCTTTCTACCAATTTGGTGTCATGCCTCCCTTTACACAGCAGAGACACCTGGACTCGCCCCCCACCTCATTCCAACCCTTACCTCCCATCACTTCTGTTCTCTTAGCAGGACTCACCTTCTATCTATCCCAGGCAATCCCAGATTTCAAACCCTCTGTGGCATCTTCCTTTGGTCACAGTGTGACCTGATTGGATGGCAGAATTTGCTCTATGACTTTCCTGTTCTCAGACAAAAATGCCACCAAAAACTGGCATTGGAATTTTGGGGCATGAGTGATTTTCATACATTCTTTCACAGTTTAATACAAAATCTATCTCATAACTGACAAACACAACTGGTCGATGAGGGCCAGCAAGTTCATGCTCCTCGACCTTCCACAGGCCCCCCTTCTGTACGTGCTATTGCCTGGGTGTCCAAGAAGGATCCCTGCCCTCTGCACTGGCAGAAAGGACATTACAGACCAAGGCAGAGAGCATGGCTTTGCTGCCACCACCAGCCAGCTCCTCTATCCTTCATTCTTTACTAAATCATGGCCCTGAAGCCTGTATAATAAATTGTCCGCCAGCCTTGCTTCTGGTCTCCCATGTATTGTTTTTGCTCAGACACCCAGTTCAGGGCCACACTGCCTAGTCTTCTCAGGGTTTAAGGACTACAGGGTGGCCCATCATTACTCATCTCTAGGTTAACCCTGAAATGTGAACATTCAGAGGAAACACATCTCAACCGGCAATGTAGGTCTGTGTAGCTGGAAGGGACTCAGCACCTGCACATTCCAGGTGAGACCCCAAGTCAGCCAGACAGTCACCTGGTCAGTGAGGAACCAGGAGAGGTGCCGAGTGGCCTCTGACTCCCAGTCCTGTGACTTTCTGTGATCAAACCCAGATATTAGTCTGACACTTGAGAAAGCCTGTGCTTTTTCTCCCAGACATAAAGCAGGCGGCCTTACAATCTCCGAGGGCTCAGTTCCTCATGCATTTGTTTCTCTTGTGATGCACAGACCTGCCTTATTTCTTTAAGAACTCTAGTTAGCTGAGAGGCACCAATTCTGATTGAAGAAGCCTTTGGAGGCCTCAATGGGCAATGTTCTCTCTGTTGTCTGCACAGCGGTGTTACCCAAACCCAGCATCACAAGCAACAACTCCAACCCGGAGGAGCACAAGGACCCTGTCGTGTTAACGTGTGAACCTCAGACTGAGAACACCACCTACCTGTGGTTGATCAACAGTCAGAGTCTCCAGGACAGTGCCAGGCTGCAGCTGTCCAAGGACAACAGGACTCTCACTTTACTCATTGTCATGAGGAATGACACAGGACCCTATGAGTGTGAAATCCAGAACCCCGTGAGTGCCGGTCGCAGTGACCCACTCACCCTGAATGTTCTCTGTAAGTAACCTCTATCCAGGCCCGCACCAGGCTGCCCACCCAAATCCACACTGCCTGAGGCTAGACCACATCCCTCCCTCTCAGGTCAGTGGACACAGACCCCCACACTGAACACCCAGGGTGACCATCTGTTCCTGGACCAGGCACATCTGGGCAGGCTCAGCCTTGAGCCAAGACTGGGAGGGGAGGGGATGCTCCTGTCAAGAGAGGCTCAGGGTTAACAAGCTTTCATGGGACAAACAGGTTAATGTCTCAGACTCAGGCTCAGTGAATACAGGGGCTATGGTTGGGACTTTTTAAAACAAGGCTCTGACCCAGCTCAGAGGGAGAGTGTGGCCTTACACAGACCAGGACCTTCCCCTTCCCTCTGATTACATCATGTGTGGCTGTGTTCTCTCTGCTCCAGGTGGCCCGGACACCCCCTCCATTTCCCCCTCCAACTCCCATTACCTTCGTGGGACAAACCTCAGCCTCTCCTGCCAGGCAGCCTGTAACCCGCCTGCACGGTATTCTTGGATTATCAATGGGGGGCCCCAGCAACACACACAAGAGCTCTTTATCCCCAACATCACTGCACATGACAGTGGATCTTATATCTGCCTCGCCCATAACTCTATCACTGGCCTCACAAGGACCACAGTCAAGACTATCACAGTCTATGGTAAGTGCCTCCTGGACCATGTGCATTAAGCTTTGGGGTGCAAATCTGTCTGGTTTTCAGAAAAGAACCTGGAGGGTGTTGTCTTCCATCCTGTGGCCATGGACACAAGCAAATCACAGTCTTCCCCTGAGCCTTCCCACTACATCTCTGTAGACTCCCCTCCCTTACTCTTCTGATCTCTAATGGCAGAGTTGGGGTCCAGTCATGGAAAGTGAGGAGGGGTTCTCCCAGCCCCAGAAAGAGTCAAGTGGTGGAGGGAGGAAGCTTCCCAGAAGGTAAGATAAGGGTCCTCAAGGTCAAGTTGCTTCTGTCACTAACACTTTCCTCTGTCACCTCTTGTCTGTTACCTGCTCCGTGTGCTACAAGGAACGTACAGGCTTTGAGAAAGCTCACCTCTTTTCCCCAAACTAAAGGAGGACACCACCTCTGAGGAGGGGTGAGCAGGACAGACCCCTGCTCCCTACGCTGTTCCAGGCTCACCTGGTGACTGGCTGCTCTGTGCCCTCTGTGGTGGGACAGGGGACTATGGTGATGGGGCATAGGTGGCCTATCCTCTGATTGGCCAAATTATGTCACCCATCGACACTATGGCCTCCCTCAGACCAGGCTGCATGGAAATGGGGAGAGAGTGAGCCTCTGAGCTGTGCCCTGACTCTGAAGTCACCTGCTGTACAACACTGTGCGATACCAGTGTATGTGACATCCCTACAGAGAGCAGTGAATGATGGTGCTTACTTGACAAGAAGGTAGATTCATGGGACAGAAGGAGCAGTGCCACAAAGTGTGTACTTTACTGAGGAAGCTAAGAGTAACAGCTATTGTTAAAACTGACTACTTCTCTCTAGGGACGTCCTTCTCCCTGATATTCAATCCACAGGCCAGGAAGTGAACGTCCTATTCAGATGGAGAAATTCTTTAGATTGAAACTTCTCCAGGTCCTAAGGTCATGAAGACTGGCTGGGCTATATTCTCTAATAAGTTACTTAACAAAAAGGAAATGCCTTCCCATCTGTGTGAGTGTTTAGATTACAGAAAGGCCCTAGCCGAATTGGCTCAGTGGATGGAGCATTGGTCTGCAAACTGAGGAGTCCCGGGTTCGATTTCGGTCAGGAGCATGTGCTTTAGTTGTGGGCACACCCCAGTGGGAGGTGTACGGGCGGAAAGCTGATTGATGTTTCTAACTCTCTATCCCTCTCCCTTCCTCTCTGTAAAAAAAAATCAATGAAATTAAATAAAAAAAAAAAGTTACAGAAAGGTCTATGAATGCTGTTGTCAGTAGCTGTAAGAAATCAGTGAAAATGTCATTTATCACTCACCAGTTCTGTGACCACCAGCCAGTGATTAAGCACCTCTCATCCCTGATTCTGTTTGTGCTCATGGGGGTGACACCCTCCATCCCTCGTGGTGGTGGAAGGATCAGATGACATGAAGGTATAGTGTTTCCCCCCCTGCCTGAAGCATCAAAAACACTCAGCACATTCTTATTACACGTCAGCACTGAACTAACAGGTAATGTGCCTGCTAAGACCGTCCATTGTGATTAAAATAAGAAACAGGGGTAAGAGACTGAATAGGTGAAGGAAAGAGAAGTTAAGAGGAAAATTACCAAGATACGAGAATGGTGGGTGTGGGATACATGCAAAGGTAGAGCCAATGGAAGGTTTAAATGTGTAAAACAGAGAATGATGCAACCGCTGAGAGGGGCGTGTCAGAACGGACACCCCCAAACCGCACAGACTAGGTGGCAGTTCCTTCCTCCCTCACCAGGTCTCCCCCTGCAAGGCCCCTCCTGGTTTCCCCTACATGGACTTGAGCCTTCACCCCTCCCCCTTTCCTTTCTCCTTTCAGCAGAACAAACCTACACTGGCTACTCTGTGGGGACCATCGTTGGCAGTGTGATCGGGATCCTCGTCGTGGTGGCTCTGGGGGCCTCCCTGGGCTATTTCCTGTACCTCAGGAGGACTAGGAGGTACCTTCACCCACACCCAAATCCTGTCCCCTGACCCAGACTGACCCCCAGCGGTGCCCAGGCCTGGAGGACAAAGGCCCCGTCCTCAAAGGGTTCTGGGCCAGTTCCTTGTTGCCTCCCAGCTTCCCCATGGATGTCCTTAACTCTCCATCCAGCTTCTCCCTCACCAGCTGCTAACCAGGTGGTTTCCTCAACAGCTTCCTCACCTATAAGTGAGGCATGATTAAGAAACTGTGCCCTCAGGACTGACCTGGTTCTCTCCACACATCTGCAGCAGTGCAGGCAGGAATTAAGTGCTCAGTAAGGTACCTCCTGTTGTTTATCTAAGTCCACCCTCCCAGGTGAGGGTTTGGGCAGCCTCAGGGTCTTAAAGTCATCCTGGCCAAGGACACACAGCTGAGGATGGAAGAGCCAGGACAGGCAGGATTGGGTCAAATGCCCTCACGAGGCCATTCTGATAACAGCGACCCTGATGTGTAAGACAGGACTACAGCAGGGTCTGTGGTGTGGTTTTCACCTCTAGGTCAGGTGGATGGAGCCATGACAGGAGCTCTGTAGGCCTGAGGGGTGGGTCTGGCCACAGCAGATGCTACATGAGGCTGGCACTGCTGACCCTGTGGCCTTGAACTTTCCATTAAGTCAGACCCTCAGGGTGGACTCCTGTCTTGGGAACTCAGTCCCCTCCCTGTTACTCCTCCCAGACCCCCATCTGCCTGTGGATCCTTCCCCTGTGGGCCCAGGTCAGCCCTGGATCCTTAAGGCCTTGCCTCAGTTCCCCTCTCCTGGGCCTGTCCCCCCTAAACAGTGGAGAGAGGCCTGCACCCTCTGCTGGGAAAGGAGACCTTCCCTGCCCCTTGTTGTGACACCAAAACTCCCTGCACCCCTCACATTAAGTCTGTCCTTTCCCAGGGCCAGTGACCCGCGTGATCCCCAAGAGCACCCACCCCCAGCCGCCACCCCTGGTGAGTGTCTGTTCAGCCTGGAGCCCCTGGGCCTGCTCCAGAGTGGCCACCCCTGTCCTTGTCCCTCAGGCTCTGACCATCCCTAGTCTTCAATGGATTCTCATCACCACTCTGCATAGAGGACCCCCACGCACTAGTCAACCTAATGTGTAGGCTGTGTCATGTGTCACCACCTTTCCCTCACTGGACCCTGAAATGGCAAGAGGGTCTTGCCTTGGGAGATGACCTTTCACCCCTATCTCTTGGGAGCTAAAGAACCACCCCCTCCTGGGAGAACAGCCAAAGCTTCCTCCCTCTGGGTGCTAATGCTTCCTGTCTCTGCTCCCAGGCCAGGGTCCATCTGGAATCTCTGCCTTCCGGGTAAGTCCATCCCCTCCCTGGTCCCTCACCCAGGGCCTCAGCGACCCATCCTCAGGGCAGGGGCACCATCGATACTCGCAACACAGCACAGAACCCTTCCACAGAAGAGCCAGCACAAAGGGAGCCCCGCCCTGGTCTCGTGGGGCCCCCACATCAGAGATTGACAGGCGGGGCCAGAATCTGAGGGGAACCCTGGAGTCAAGCATGGAGTAAAATGGGCTCTGTGAGCACCTGGCCGAGGTCCCAGGCTAACAAGGGTGTGGGGGTGCAGTGTGGCCAGAAATTGGGTGCTGGGCTATAGGTGTGAAGACAACTTCTCAGGAGGCAGAGCTGTCAGTCCTGTGGAGAAACCCTCCCTCCCTGTCCTCTGATGCCCTCTCTCCCCCCTACACAGGGCCCCCTACCCGACCCCAAGACAGCAGGCCCCATCTACCAGGTGAGTGTGGGGTATGAACCTTCTGTCCTGCAGGTCCCAGGGGCCTCAAGACCTGCCTCCAGCCCAGCCCTGGCTGTGCTTCCAGCTCAGGAAAGGGCAGTGGAAAGTGACAACAGAGTGTGAGAAGAGGGAGGAACCTGGGAACAGACAGCCAAGCACAGTCAACCCTCATGGCACCTGTGAATCATGGCACTTGTTCTGAGAAGGCTGCAGGGCTCAGAGATCTCTTCTCTCTTTGACAGGAATTAGTCAACCCAAACACAGAGGTGTACTGCCGGATCATTCCCAGAGCAGATGTGGCTTCTTAGTTCCTCCAGGACCTGACACCCCAGACCCTGCGGATGTGGCCTGCATCAGAGAACCAGCTCTGAGCATCATGCTAAGTGAAATAAGCCAATGGGAAAAAAGATAAATATCACATGTTCTCACTCATTTGTGGAATATAATGAAAAAGATAAACTGATGAACAAAATAGAGCCAGAGGGGAGAAAAATATTTTAAAATACTATTGTATAATAGTAGTAATCCTGTTATTGCAGACTTTTAATATTTCCTACAATGTTTGTGATATCATACTATGTTATACAATTTTGATAATATTATTATACTTAAAATCCTATTTTCTTAAAATACTAATATTTATTTCATGTAATATTATATTTAAGATCATTTTTCTTGAAAATTTTGTTTATTGCATTTAACATTATTATATTTAAAATAGTTTCTCTTGAGATAAAAAAATAAAATAAAATGCTTATGGGATTGCTGAGAAGAAACAGAGAAACCTACTCATGCAGAATTAAAATGTCTATAAATAAGTAACTCTTAATAATAACCCTAAATGTAAATGGATTAAATACTCCAATCAAAAGGAGTGGGGTAGATGAATGGATACAAAAATATGACTCAACTATATGCTGTCAACAAGAGACCCACCTAAAAAAAAGAGACACACACAGAATGAAAGTGAAGGAATGGAAAAATTTTTTCCATTTAAATGGAAAGAAAACAAAGCTGGAGGAACAATACTCCTGAGAAAATAGATTTCAAAATGAAGGCCATCATAAGAGACAACAAAGGGCATTACATAAAACTAAAGAGATTAATCCAACAAGAGTATATAACCCTGGTAAACATATATGCACCCAATATAGGTGCTCCTAAATATATAACAAACTTCTAGAGGACTGTAATGGAGAAATTGACAACAATACAGTCATAGTAGGGGATTTTAACACCCCTCACTTCACTGGACATATCTTCCAGACAAAAA